CGTGCATGGAACGTGTAAGTCTCTAATTCGTTAACAACGGAACGAAAAGGAGTCCATTTGTGTAATCTTCGCCAGATCTACAGAGGTAAAAGGTGCGCAACTAGATCGTCCGTCTGAGAATCAGCTCGAGCATTCTAAGGATGTCACTTGAACATATTAAAGCAATTTGTGTTCTTGCAATTCCTAAACTTCGAGTACTAATAACACCGCGCAACTGTTCTTACATAGCATGAAGATAGGATAGGCTTCATTGAAGTTATTCGTCATTTCAAAGATTGTAAGATCTGCTCTATTGTTCTGAGATTGAGGTGATGTGATAGTGCTCCTACGATCACTGTTAACTCAGAAGTAATTCTAGATCTTCAATGTATTTTGTTACGTAGTGGCACCGCCATGCCATAAAACAACGTTTGCAGTTATATGAAAACTACAATAGGCGTATAGTGTTGACAGGGAAAGGCCACTCGACACTCAATCAAAACCGGCCCCTCGCACTGAGCTGGTTTTAGGCGTCCCTATAGGATTACAGATGGAGTTTCAGGCTTTCTCTAGGGCGGCTAATCAGAACCGGCTTCACCGTCACTTCATTCAAACGGCGACTTTTGAACCACAGGCGGCGCATCCAGCGTCAGTTTGTAACGTGGCTAGTGCCAGAATGCGTCTTGTCTATAGATAGATACGAAGATATGAGACCGCATCACGTCAACTCACGTGTCTGCAACCGATTCTATTGGAGGCATTGCTTGACTAATTATCTGCTACCCCAATTCTGTTGGAGCACATAAACGTTTCATAAACGGAACATTTTCGATGAAGAATGCCCAAGCGTTGAAAGGTTGATCTCAACGCAGCGGCGCTAAGACAGTCGGACCTACTTTAGGCTGTTAAGAAGTTGGCCAAATATTTCTTCAAAGAATAATTTTCTTTAAAATGTGTTCCTATCCGAATGCATACGATGTGTGTGTCTAGGTTATACCCGTAAGCAGATGCCTAGAGAAAAGGATTTCGGCCACCTCTATTATTTAACTAGAGATTTTGTAATGGATGCTTGCAATTGGCGTTGGTAATCAGGCTAAATTAAATAAGTAAGCTAGCTTATAGTTGATGAATATATTTCGATCGAATGCTAGTTACAAGTATTAAAACGTTGAGGTTTTCTAAATACTCTTAAATCCAAACCATACAACCTCACGCATACGTCGCTGTTTATCGGAAGTTTTCCAGAAGAAATGTGATGAGAGACTGTGTGGAATATGTTTCTGTATGCAATACGAAATGGTCCTAGAAATCACAGGCTGATGACATCTCCCTCTTCGAATTGAAAAGCATAGGCAGAAGTGCCTGAAGTTAAAACGAGAAAGCAAACGTTAGAATTTTACCAACTTGCCTTAATACACCCAAGAGTTTACACACAGCTCTCCCGTATAGCTAACCTTGCTACAAAAGAATATAGAACAGCTGTTTGCATTAAACAATTTAATAAAATCGAATATCTCCCTCAGAGAATACGATACTTTTTGAGTCTTTAAACCTTCTAAAGGGCATTTAGTTGAGAAACTACTTTTAGATTCCACAAAGGGAAGGATGGCAATGATTACACAGTTTCTATTTCGCATGCCCACCTCTATAATAATATCAACGTCGTGTTATTTTAGATATGAAAACGCGTTAGTAAATTTATGTGACAATAACCCATTGTCAAAGAATTACAAACGCTTTGCAAAAGGCTGTCTGATAGCAGTTTGTAGGAAAACCAGAAAGGGCTGACACCGACGTTTATTTGAGGGAAATTTGTTTGGCATAATAGCTTATCCATACATATGGGAACGATCTCTTAATTTTCGTCACAGCGTGCACCAAAACAAAAAGCAAGCTAGGTAAATCGCAAGAGGATCTCTCTAAAGAAATTAGGTAGGCTTGTTACTTATGTACGTACTCATTCACAGATGGGATTTCACCATTGAATAACAGAACGTACTGTCATTTTTCCCTGCATACGTCGCTGAGTTTCAAGGGTGCCTGATGGAAGAATTAAATTAATTAGAAAATAATGTAAAGCAAACAAATATATATGCTAATTTTTATGGCGCGTGTCTGTCGTCCAATTTTTGGTGAAAGTGGCGTTCCAAAAATTACCATACTAAGACCAGCAAGGATAAACAACGATAATTCATTAAGATACCTGAATAAAGAAATAACTATCAACGTTCGAATGATACGTTCCGGGAAGGTGCCCTCGCTTTCACATCATTAAAAGCAACATTTTTTTAAAAAAGCCGTTTTATTAAAAGACTTATTCTTTCAATAGCTTAACGGTAATGTTGTGTCATGCAGACCCCCGCTTGCAAGGCAGAAACTCGTACATTTACTGTTTATAGCAACGGGGGATTTGGGTAGCGTCATTTTGACACTGGCTGATCTGTCTCACAATTTTGTTTCTCCCACGGACAAGAAGGTCCGTAACGAAAGATGCGTTGTTTGTTTGACGTGCTGACAGCTTTCGACGTAATTCGGTAAAAGCCAATAGATACGGAAAACAAATGTAGCGTCTCGATTGCGGCGAACGTCCCATGGCGAATCGATTTTTGGTTCTCGGTGCTAAATCGTCACTTACAATCTATATCGATACGGTAAATGTATTAATTTTCGAAACCAAAAACATTGTGGTGAATATAGATTTACATTTTTTTGCTGTTTTACAAACTTTACGTTTTTCCTAAGTCTTACCTATGGGGTACATTCCTGAGAGCGTGTACCCTACTATAGATTTTCCTATAACTGTATCTGACGTCGGAAGGCGACAAAGATCAGGGATCTTCCACACAAAATTTCAGCCGATTTATCGAGTCGCAACGAATCTTAATCTGTTTGGCTGGTGAAGTAATTAGATCAATCGATCGATCGATCGATCGATCAATCAATCAGCGAAACGCTCCTACCCAGAGACGAATACAATCAAAACCGTACCATAATGTCGCCAAAGCTCCGCTGACGCGACCAGTAATTAATTAGTTCTTCATGTACGATATCACGCTACCCTACGTCACTGCTTCTATTTCAGCTAGTTTCGCGAGTATTTTTTGCTAGTAGACGTGCTCACACTCGATAGAACTGAGATCATTTATCCTCCAACTTATTTTTATCAGTCTTTGATAAAAATAACTGTCCCTGGAAGTTTTCTGTTATAAATGTTTGCAACTTCTTGTAAAGTCGTGGGAAAGTAAACAGGCCATGTTCTTTAGAAGTAAAATTCAGGGCTTATAAGGAGTACACAAAAATGACATAAACATTGGTTAAATGTAATTAATACAGTTACAGTCATTAGTTAATAGTGATGAGGTCACGTGACTCTGTGTAGACTTATTAAGCATCAGCAAAGCCCTCCACTCAATAAAATCATTTATGTTTTAGTCAACCAGATGGCACCTCATAAACCAGACATTAGCGTGTGGGTCACACTGGAAAAAATTGTTCAAAATCCTCATTCAACTTTAATCAATTTACTATAGGTAAATACCTCATATACACAGTATGCATGAACGTTGAGTGGCGCAGCGCAGCTTAGGAAAGATGCGCAATATTACAATTAATATAGAAATTCAGTACAAAAAACTGTGAGGGTACGAGCGCGTTCTGACTGAGGATCAATGGAATGCTCGAGCGGGGAACTACTGCAGGCTGAATGACAATGACAATAGAAAAGTCAATGGAGACCGACGCAGATGGAACGCGAAAGAGACCGCCGGAAGTTGGATCACATTACGTGGGGTGACTAGCTTGAGGGTTAGAGGCGTTCCTTCTAATCGGGCCAATCGAAGTTGGTGAAGTTAGCAAGCGAAGAAGGCAAGCAACCTGAGAAGAAACTTCCGGGTGGAGCAACAGGATATCGGCGGCGAGAGCGAGGTGAAAAGTTCGAGGCTAGATTGATCGGAAAGCCGAAACCCAGAAGCCGAGAAAACGAATTCCCAAATAAGAATCCTGGAGGAGTGCAAATAGCAGTGTCAATAAGTGACTGGTGGAAAAGGCCGACGCAGAATAATAAGAACACACAAAACGTGACTAACTATATATACACACTCGGTGATATATGTATAGATAAATATCGACAACAATTAGAAGCACTGTTGCGTGATAAGTTACCTGATCGAAGACACTGGAAACCCTGCTTGATAAAATAAGTTAATTGTCGGTCTACAGTCGACCACGATATCATGTGCTTATGACATTCAATTGTCCGGCTGTATATATAATAATAATAGATTGTATTATATATTCGACAACAAACGGGATTAGGTAAATAAACAAATGTAGACAAGTGCCGTTTTTTTGTTAGTATTGCTTATTCCTTTTACTTCCCCACCGGCCCCTTCGCCCCTCCCACCCTTTGTTTACTCTTATATACTATAGAAAACCACTCTATTATTCATTAGTTCCTTCCAATACATCCTGTAGTGAGAGGAATTTTACGTTTAATTGAGGCCCAAGTAATGGGTGTTTTCGGTTGACGAAAAATATGATTTCAACATCTAGTTTATTTAGTTTTCGCCAAATTATAGCTCCAGACTGCTACAACATAGAGGGCTGCCTGGAAGGAATTACTAAGTCCAAGGACGAAATATCAGGCCTGGAGGAAGAGCTTATGATGAATCAGTCTAGAAAACCCTGTGCTGCGAACGGCCGAATATCGCCAGGCATCTTGAATCCGTAGCACCTCATCAAAAAACAGAAACTTATACGCCTCAGGGCCAGAACCAGAGAGAACGGGGTCATTGCCTCGGTGCCTTGTCCTGTATCCACTGAGCAGGGCTCTACAACAGAAAAAGACGCGATTAACTAGCCAAAGTCATTCTCCTTCAATGACAATTTTGAGCCACACATGGTAACGGTCGTTAAAGCTGCCATGCAAGAGCTTTGATGAGATAGCCCTTAGCACCCGCCATATTTTCAAGCTGGCGGACTTATCATTTTTTATCTCTGGCAACGAAGTCCGTGAAAGTACATTAAACAGTTTCAAAAGCCGGCTATACAGTTTCTTGAGCATTAGATCGAACAATTTCTGACAATATGAGAAACTGGAGAAAATCATCAACTTTGACGGTGAGTAAATAGAAAATTAATTAGTTGCTAGGGTTTGCCTGAAACGCTACATTTTTTTTTAATTTTGATTAGGCGAAAAACGGTACTTATGTTCCCTCTAACAGTTAAAAAACCTGGTAGGACACAAATGGACAAAATGGACCTATAAATATAAAGTGACACCCGGCATACAGTGACAATTTGTATGTTTAAGATGTAAGACTATTTCACCTGTAATATTTATCCACTGCAAGGATCGTACTTCAAAAAGAATGAACCTATAGGTTTCTATTGCCTTGTCACTAGGCTTTCTTGCCCACAGTGGTTTCAGAGTTACATTGTCGTTACTTGAACGTTAAGAGAGCTGGGATTGTTGTTAACGTATAAGGCAAAGAAGAAGAGTGGTCAAGCTGTGTCCTATTGCCCAGACTCAGTAAACAGACTTTTGTCACTCTTCCTGAGACTCCTGAGATGAAAAACGCAAGCGCACTAAACTAGTTGATCGAAGTGGAAATAACCACATGAACTCCACGTGAAAACTTGGTTCATCGTAATGGCTTCGATGGAAACCTAACCGCGAAAACTTCGCTGAAGACCCTTTGTAGCATTCGAAAACAATCGTTGTGGCTATAGAATGGACAAAACTTTGTAAAGAATTTGAAATGCTATGCTAATTAATAAAGATCCCTCACGTAACGTGAAGTTATCCTACTATTTGGTTAATATAGATGCCGAATATCAGAGTTGGCCTAAATAGGCTCAATTTCTCCTTCATCTATTTTGGATTACATAGATCGTTGTAGTTACCACGCGATTCTAATACAGATGCGTTGCCATATTCGAGACATGCATGCTACAGACCAATCAGTAGAAAATGCTGACTCCAGTCTACCAAACTCTAGTACGCCAAAATAGCCAAAATAAGATCTATTGTTAGTAAGCGAAAGTTCTTCACGTATCCGATCGGCAAACGCTTGAGCATTCTTGTAGCCGTCAATCTGGACTCTCATAAATGAATCATGCAGCTGGCTTGCGAACACGATGTTTTTACATCTTGAAGCAAACGACTCCGGTGCCTGCGCGATTGCCTGGCACTTACTAACCGGGCATATCGCTCGTTTCTATGGCGAAATTATTTAAAAAACATCCCGATATCACTTCAGTTGTTTCGATGCCAGTGATGATTGGATAAAGTATACATTATCTGGTATCGAAAAATGCTGCTGGCATCGAACATATCTAATTTTGACCTTCTTCCACCAAACCATTTATAATTTAGCTGTTTTTCCATGGTGCTATATCTCTTGCCATATAAAGTTTTGTCTACTTTCAACAATGAGGGAACCGGTTAACTGTGTTATTATCAGCGAGCCACTACAACCGCAAACGTCTGACGAAAACCGTATAATATTAAATATTTGTTTGCGACGTATAGAAAGGGAACAATCTGAGAAGCAAATTATCTCATCTAAGTTAATCATCATTAACGTTTATCCTTACTTTTACTATTTTATATTACAATCTTTATTTAACAGCACTTTCATATTTGTCTTGGCCGACCTTCGGCGTAGAGCATCTCTCTCTCTCTCTTCGTCCTCTTCGTCCCTGCTATTCGTCCCCTGGGACCTGGCTATTACGTAAGCCATGAAGTGCGCACTCGACTTCCATGTGTGTTCTTTTGCTCGCACCGATGCTTTCCCTAGTGTGAAAACACTTCTATATGCAAAAAATCTCCGCAAGAATGATTTGTGCAGATGAGCATATCGAAGATGGAACCTCAACCATCACTGGGCGGAGTTAATTTATTTAATCACAGTCATCGTAAAGCATATGCCGTTGGCAAAACTTGAACCAACAATCCCTAATTTTTTTAGGGAGAGTTTGTTTATAGACTATAGAATATAAAATCACCGCAAATTTGAAGAAAATTTTCTTTTAGTCTATCTTATTCACCAAACATTCCGCCAAATATTTTCGAACAGTAGGAACGCCCACAAAGAAGGGCTTTTTGAGGTTTTTTTTCGTGGGATATAAAACTTACCAAAGGTCCCTCAGGGGCCTCCGCTTCTGCAAATCAACGAAAGCTGTGCCAACCAAAATGAAGGAAAGTAAAGTAGCAGTAATAGTAGTTGGAAACGGTGGCATCTAGGGCGGGCCCAAAGTGAACTCTGTAGGTTTGTCACGTCATTTCTCGTTACCTCCCCCTGATACAGTCAAATTGTTTGACATGTTTCACGGATGGAAAATGGGCATGCTTTGACCTTTCGGTTTTTGGCGTTTCCATGTGGCTTGTGTCCGGACATACTTCAACTTATCTTTACACTCTTGGAATCAAAATATGGTAACATTAAAGATACAATAAACTACCTTACTTAAAAACGTATGAAGACAAAGATTTAACAAAATATCTAGTAAGTTTGAATTTATTTAGCTGAAGGCTCGAACTTTCGGAAATACATCAGTCAGGTACAATGCAGATGAATCGAGGAAGCAAATACTCGGTGAGGTTGCATCAGAAATGCCTGCTTCGCGACTACTCATGCTGTGCCTATATTGCCGCAGATATGTATTTATTCATATCTTAACCCTTAAATACTTAATCCATTGCGGTTAATCCACGCTTTTCCGGCTGAATGTCTCTATCCCGCGATCGGTATCTTCTAGGGCCCAGTATGTTCTGCACTGCCCAGACGTCCGTGTAATTTCTTCATGCACGCGTCGAACATGTTTTGCTGTTTTCAAAATTAATTAACAATCGCACATTTCCTAGCATTCAGCACGATCAGGGCTGTTTTACACAAGCCCACGGTAACAGGCCCACATGCCAAGTCTCTTGTCGTCCTGCCATATATCCTATCGCGGTAGTGCTCGTAGTGATCTCAGATGTTCTTTCTGTTTGATAGGATTCGTTCTCACTTTTTTCAGCGCCGGCTTTATAGATCCATTGTCGATAGCGTAGTTCCGAAACTCCGAAGAATCGTACTTCTACAACTTTTTCCCGCAAATTGCTACGCGTCGTGCCATGTATGTGACCAAGTGCTCTAGCCGGAATTTTTCTGTCTGTAAAATATTATACTATCAGACGACGGACAATTTTCTGTGTACGTGCATCGCTTCGATGTCAGTTAGAAAATATCGAGACTTGGGCTTTTCGCGGAAGTACGGGACCAACCCCGTACAACTTGAAGCAATGTATTCAAGAGGAAGAATAATTTTCGCCCTCGATCAGCTCTGGAGGCGTTTGATAGCCTCCAGCTAACCGTCAAAAGAAATCTAACAAACTGACAAAATTTATGTAAAAAAATATACTTCGCAATATAAAAATAGATCTTTAGTTGAGAATTATATGGGTGTGAAGTTAGGAAAAACGCCAACTTCTCTTTGAAGCAGCATTTGATTAAACCATGGCAAACAACTTGTACAAGGCTTAATTCGAAGGCTATAGCGCAGGCTTATACCTATGTAAACTTACCTTTACTCCGCTTTGGATTTGGTAGTAAGATTTCAAATTGTACTACGCATCCGTGATTTTTTTTAAACACACCTGAAAGAATATTTTAAGATTAATTATAACATGACTTTGTCTGCCGTCATATGAACAAATTGGTGCCATTTCTTGGTTGAGCATTAATACAATACTGTATAAACTTCAGCAGAGCTGCAACTTCGTTAGTAAACAGGTAACTTATTTCAGGTGATGGCTAGTTGTCATTACCTTTGAATTCAACTACATCAAGTAGTATCGATAAGACCACACAATAATATACTCGTTATGTCATTTTGACGTAGATAGGTTAAAGCTTGCAGCGTAACTACAATTGAAAAATTCTAATATTTGTTACAGCTATTACATGCATATCGCTATCACGAAGCCCTTGTTTAACTCTCGCCCTCAGATTTTGCCAAGCCAAAATCCGAGTGCCTTCGTATATATAACTGAGGACTATTTTCGGAGCAGTCAAGCTAAATTGATTCTTAGTGTTGGGTAAGTATGATCGACGGACTGGGCCGGGTTCCCGTTTTGCACCATAGGTAGGACGTCTCGATCTTAGGCGAGTTTCTCTGTTGGGTAGACATATCCCGAGTGACTAAAGTCGATTTGCTTGGTCATCAGCATTCTTCTCAGAAATAATAGTTCGACAGATCCCAAGGGGGTAAAGGTTTCCCTTGCATTCGAGCCGCGTAGCTGTCTAGCGCCTTCCACACAACGCCGCTCGCGGGTTTTTAGTTAAGTAGCTCCGCATCATCATCTTGTTATCGTGAATCAACACTCGTACGATGTCGTCGCAGCAGCGGCAGTCAGCGCTTGCCATGCAAAAATGTTAAATCATTCGCCATAACACTTTATGGTAAGTTAGCAACAGCAGCAGCTACCGCCATAGGGATACAGTGGTATCATCGCAAATGCCTAACGCGAATAGCCCTACCGGAGGCCGCTCAAAGAGAGTTAAGCCGCTGCCGGAATCGAGGTTTCCCGAACCCCACGTCGGGAGCGCGCGGAAGCAGCGGTGGCAGAAGTAGCAGCAGCTACTTCGTACGTTCGTTCGTTCGTCTATCCGCTAGGAAGGCAGTCGACTCCGTAAGCTTTAAAACACATTTTTACTCTGGACTGCAACTTCACTTCGAATTTTTAGCTAACAAACCTCGAAAGCTCTCTGTCTATCACTTAAGAACATAAGAAACGGGGCTGCAACGAGACCGATGTACCCAACTTCAGTGGATATGGGAGATTGCAGAGGCTAAAGCTTGCTCTCTTCGACACAGCACGCGCGGCCGCTCGTACGGCGGAGCAACTAGCTCATCTAGAAAGAGGAAGTCAGGATGGCAGGAGTGGAGATGACTATGGGCCGTGCGCGCCGAGAGAACGACAACAAATATCGGGACAGCCCTATCTACCTTTCATAGGATACAAGGAGTCCGCGGAAGTAGGAAGAACAACTGCGGAAGTAGTAAGAGCAGTGTACGAGAGCAAAGTGGCCGGGGTCTCAAGTTGAAGCTCCTCCCTTCCCTGGAAAGATAAC